TAAACAAAAATATATACTCTCATGGTATTTAGGGGTTAAAATGACAGTAAATAAACTTTTAAAACAGCATGGTGTTCCTGACGGGGTCCCTGGAAKTTTTGTAAGGGGTCCCCAGACCCAAAACGTTTGAGAACCCCTGTTTTACAGAATATAAAAATGTTAAAACTTAATTTAATTATTAATATTTCTAAATAATATCTGATAAAAACTGTTAGRTTTGATCAGGAAATAATTAGAAAAGTTCAGAATTTTTCTATGCTTTCATGGTTTTCTGGACCTGCAGGTTTCAGGTGATGATGATGCCAAATACACGGTGAAGGCCGTCAACAGTCTGGGAGAGGCCACGTGCACCGCCGAGCTGCTGGTGGAGGTGATGGCCAGGGAGGAGGAGGAGGAGGAGGAGGAGGAGGAGTAGGAGTCCTGCTGCTCCTCCGCATGTCACACTTTAACAAAGAAACCTTTAAAAAAACAGACTGTGATTGGAGGAAGAGGTGGGCGGAGCTTCACACACCTTAATAAATAGAGACCACACTGAGCACTGCAGACCTTTGGTTTTACYGTGGTTCAGTTTTTGTCCTGTTAGTCTGATTTTTAAAAATGATTCAGAAATCCAACAGAATGTAAACGATCGCTCTTAAAACGACACGAAAAACACTGAAAACTAGAGAAGAAGAAACAGGTAGTCTTTCTTCTTCTATGGTTTTAAATAAAGCAGAACGTCCTCTGTGCCTTAAAGAGAGCTGAGTCCTGCTGCTCTGATCCAACAAAACCATCAGATTCATGTTGACCGTTGAGCCTTAAAGCAGACCTGAGTTAACATGTGGGACACTTCAGTCTGGTTTGAGTTTATCAGAACCCGAGCTTGGTTCAGACAGGTTTGAACCAGAACTCGTGACAGGAAACTGCTCCACAGATGCAGAACCAGGCAGGATCTCGTGCAGATCRGGACATTTTGAAATGTGAAATCTTGTTTGTAATTCATGGTGCATGGTTCACCTGTCAGCAGTTCCATGTGGGCCACAAACAGCTAAAGTTTCTGACATTAGAGGTGCGTTTTCCACGGTTGATTGGCAGATTTCATGCACTTTGTGTATTTTAAAGTTTATTCCTGGTGTTGTTGTGTTATCAGAAGAGTTTCCATCTGTCCACCTTAAAAAAAACACTTGTTTTATTTTATTCACTTCCTGCTGAGCTCCGTGTTTCTCACTGTCTGCTAATGCTAGCATCACAGCTACGTTGTCCTGTAGCTGAACAGAGCGTAGCCTAGCATGCTAACGGCCTGAAATCACTGTTTACTGAAACTTTGTGTTCAATCTGAGGTCCGTCTCAGATCTTTACATGAAATGATTAATGTTTAATTAGCAGTTTGTTCTGTTTGTAAATCATTTATTTTAGACACAAACTTCAGATTTAAATGTGATTGTTTTCAAGTTTTATCACATTCCAGCTGTTTGTTTTTACTGAAAGCTTAAAAACTGATTCAGTTTGAAATCAGACACCAAAGAACTTTTATTTTTATGAATATTAAACTCACAGGTGTGTGTTTGTTGTGTTTGGTACTTGTTGGTTTGCAGATTGTATATTGTTAGATTTATTTAATGCACAGATTCATAATTATTATTAATATTGGAGCATCCTGAAGGTCACGACCCCTCTCCACACACACACACACACACACACACACACACACACACACACACACACACACACACACACACGTTAAAGTCTGTTTTTATTAGATTTGTGTAGATGTATTTCTGAGTTGTATGAATATACATGAGTTTGATGAACTGTAGGTAACGACGTGCACAGATGCCAAATAAATTTTTATCACAAAACAAACAGTGCTGATTTTTTATTGACATGCTTTATTCAAATGTGTGTTTTGTTGTTGTGTGTTTGTGTTTTTGTGGGTAACTTTGTTTGTTTAGATGCAGGTTTAAACACTAAAACAGACAGAAACTCATGCAGATGTTACAGATATAAAGAACTGCATCATCTGCATACATGAAGACCAAAGAGGTCCATTCATTAAAACAGGGTGGTCAAAGTCCTACCTGCAACATTAKATTTTATATACAGTATTATATACATGTATTTTAATAAAGTATATAATTTGCCAAATGTATTTTATACTTTATAAATAACATTTAATTATTTTGTATTTCTTTTGCATGATTTATGTTTTTATAGCCAGTTGAACAGTTCTTCTCATCCTAAGAATTTYGTTGAATTGCTGACTTGGTCCAAGCCAATCTGTCAATATACTTAAAAAATATTATGTACCAAACTATTCTTATAAAAAATACAAACAACTTTATCCATATGAAGCATTTAGAACATATATAACAGGTGAAGAAAACATACATTTAGAAAGACAGATCATTCATTTCTTATGCCTTTCACTCTTTTAACATTTACATGTATTTCTGAAATGTTTGCTCCAACAAATCAACAGAGCTCTATAAAGTAAAAAAAACTGCTAAAGTACTGTAAGTAAATGTACTTAGTCACTAAATCTCTGTAAATCAGTTTAAAAAAATCACTAAAACATAATTTGTTTTTCAAATAATAAATCAGTAGTCTTTTTAACATGTTTGGTTAAAGGTAATAAATTATTTTGGTTTAATTTTATTTACTTAAAGTTTATTTATAATGATAAAGATCGATTAATCAGAAGTCAGCTTACAATGTCCGTCTGTGTATGCCTAGTAGCACNTAAACTGGACTCTAACCAGAACCGTGTGACCTAAACTGGTCTTTAACCAGAACCGTGTGACCTAAACTGGACTCTAACCAGAACCGTGTGGCCTAAACTGGTTTTTAACCAGAACCGTGTGACCTAAACTGGACTCTAACCAGAACCGTGTGACCTAAACTGGTCTTTAACCAGAACCGTGTGACCTAAACTGGTCTTTAACCAGAACCGTGTGACCCAAACTGGTCTTTAACCAGAACCGTGTGACCCAAACTGGTCTTTAAACATAACCGTGTGGCCTAAACTGGACTCTAACCAGAATCGTGTGACCCAAACTGGTCTTTAACCAGAACCATATGACGCAAACTGGTCTTTAACCAGAACCGGGTGACCTAAACTGGTCTTTAACCAGAACCG